TCTGGCTTCAAACTTTAGTCCTCGATTTTCATCTTCCTGTGTAGTTAGAATTATTGGCATGAACCACTGATGCCTGGTTTCAGGAGTAGTCTTCTTGAGAAATGAGTAGCAGTTCCCAAATATCACTGTTGGAATGAGTGCTGAGGAGGATGAGTAAGAGTTCACTGGGAGGTAAACATAACTAGGCGAAGTAGAACCTGGCTGCTTTACCACAGAATACCAAGTGCAAAAAATTAAAAACAAGCTCATAAAAATATATGGAACTGCCAAGCACTGGTGGCCTCACAGCTGTAATCCTAGCTACTCAGGAGGCTGAGATCTGAGGATCATGGTTCAAAGCCAGCCCAGGCAAGAAAGTCCATGAGACTCTTATCTCCAATAAACTACTAGAAAACCGGAAGTTGGGCTGTGGCGCAAGTGGTAGAGCACTTCTTGAGCTGAAGAGCACAGGGACAGGACAGCACACAGGCCCAGAGTTCAAGTCCCACGACCGACAAATAATTATATATATATATGGAACTGGGCTGGTAATGTAGCTTATTAGTAGAGTGCTTGCCTTGCATGCATGAAGATCTGGATTCCATTCCTCAGTATCACATACACAGAAAAAGCCGGAAGTGGCCCTGTGAGTCAAGTGGTAGAGTGCTAACCTTGAGCAAAAAAAGTCTCGGAACAGTGCTCAGGCCCTGAGTTCAAGCCCTAGGACAGAGAGAGAGAGAGAGAGTGTGTGTGTGCGTGTGTGTGTGTGTGTGTGTGTATGCTTTTCTGTATGTACAGTGACTGTCAGGATTCAGGATCAGGATTTGTTGAGTACATAAAACCATGTTGAATATGATTGCACAATTAAGTACAATTGAATGAAGGCCCAAGTCATAGAACACCATTTTTTTGTTTTTTTAAATGTATTTTGTTGTTATTGTAGAAGTGATATACAGAGGGGTTACAGTAAGTCAGGTAATGAGTACATTTGAGCTCATTTCTTTTGAACCATGTTACCCCTTTAGAACACTATTTCTTACTTTTCTCATACTCAGCCATATAACTGTGAGAAGAAAAGAGTTGTGTTTGTTGGTATTCATCTTTTTGTTTTTTTTTGGTACAGTACCTCAGCCAGACCCCAACCAGCCGAAGCCTGAGGGGCGACAGATGACCCCTGTAAAGGGCGAACCCCTGGGAGTCATTTGTAACTGGCCACCTGCCCTGGAATCTGCCCTGCAGCGCTGGGGCTCCACCCAGGCCAAATGCCCCTGTCTGACTGCGCTGGACGTGACAGGAAAGCCAGTCTATACACTCACATACGGTGAGTTCACTGGAATCCAGATCCTTTTCTCCTGAGAGTTCATCAGCGTGGCAATAGTATTTTCACCTTGATATTTATCAGTTGTCATTACATTTCAAATGATCTTTTCAATGATTTAATAGGATCCTAAGTTCTGAGTAAAGTTATTTCTAAATTTTCATTTGCTAAAGTGATATTTGCAAGCCAGTTAGTTTTTAAGACAGCCCAATGAGGAAAGAGATTATAGATCCATTGATAATTTACAATGGAGGGTTTTGCAAAACAGAAAACAAAAACAGTGACAAAAAAATTTTTGGTCAGTATTAATGAGAAAAATCGGTTAAAATTTTACCTAATAATAAGCACAAAATTCTGTAATGGACTTTTTTACATAATTTTATATCCCATATTAAAAAATTTTGTTTGCCTGTTTTTGGTGCTAGGGATTGAAAGTAGAGGCTAACACATGCTAAGCAAGAGTTCAGTCACTAGTGTCCCCCTATTTCTGCCTTCAGCTCCTGTAGGTGTTTTTTTTTGTTATTGTTTTGTTTGTTTGTACTAACTTAAAGAAAAATAACATCAAAGTCCACGCCAGTGGCTTACGCCTGTAATCCTAGCTACTCAGGAGGCTGAGATCTGAGGATCACAGTTCAAAGCCAGCCGGAGCACAAAAGTCCATGACTCTTACCTCCAGTAAACCATTCAGAAAACGGGAAGTGGCACTGTGGCTTAAGTGGTGGAGTGCTTGCCTTGAGCTGAAGAGCTGAGGGACAGCACCCAGGCCCAGAGTTCAGGCTGCACGACTGACCAAAAAAAAAAAAGAAGAAGAAAGAAAGAAAAAGAAAAGAAAAATAACATCAACCCTGAGTTAGGAGATCTCGTACTAATTTATTCAAACATACTCTTTTTCCCATCCTGCCAAACCTCCATTTCCAACTTTTTGTTGATTAATTGGACATGAGTCTCACAGACTTTTCTGCTCTGATTGACTTCAAAGTGCAATCCTCAGATCTCCACCTCCTGAGTAGCTTGGGATTACAAACATGAGCCACCAGCACCAGAAAACAAATCTATTTAAATGAACAGATTTTTTTTTCTTTTTTCCCCCTATATTTTTCTTTTTTTCCTGTGTGTATGGGGCCTTGTACTGGGGTTTTCACTTAAGGTCTCGCCATCTCCTTTTTCACTCATGGCTGGCACTCTACAACTTGAGCTATGCCTCTACTTCTAGCTTTTTGCTGGTTAAGTAGATATGAGCCTCTTGGATTTATCTGCTGGAACTGGCTTCAAACTGAAATTTTTAGTTCTCAGCCTCCTGAATAGCTCTTCTCTCCATTCCCCTTTCCCTTCCTTTCTTTCTTCCAACTATCTCACTTTGTAACCCAGGCCTTCCACTTATGAACCTCCTATCTCAGTTTATACAGTGCTGAGAGGGTGTTTAAGAGAACAGAGTAGGAAGAGGGAAAGAGGATTGTTTTTGTTTTTGGTTGGTCGTGAAGGATGAACTCTGGGCCTGGGCGCTGTCCCTCAGCTCTTCAGCTCAAGGCTAGCTCTCTACCACTTGAGCCACAGCTCTACTTCCAGCTTTTTCTGCTTATGTGGTGCTGAGGAACCAGGGCCTCATGCATGGGAGGAAAGCACTCTACCACTGAGCCACCTTCCCAGCCCAAGAAGATTGTTTTGTTAGAGTGTTTTCATTTTGTTTTTTTGGTCAATAGTTTTAATATTCATCTCAGAGATTGTATATGAATTTCATCTGTGTAACATCTTAAAACATTCAGCTGTCTAGAACCATACATGTTTATTTAGTATCTGTGAATATATCCATGTCTCACATCAGTTTCCCTTATATTGTCTCTCTACTGAATTTTTTTTTCCTTTTTTTTTTTTTGGTCCAGTCCTGGGGCCTGAACTCTAGGCCTGGGCCCTGTCCCTCAGCTCTTCAGCTCAAGGCTAGCGCTCTACCACTTGAGCCACAATGCCACTTCTGGCTTTTTTCTTTTTGCTTATGTGGTGCTGAGGAATCGAACCCAGGGCCTCATGCATGAAGGCAAGCGCTCTACCACTGAGCCACCTTCCCAGCCCCTCTCTACTGAAATATAGTAGTGCAGAATATTGAATTCATTGAGTCATATGTTTTGCTTTCCATTCACCTCTGGTACCTGATAATGCCTATGTGAGCAGTTCTTTAGAGAAAGTTTACACAGAACTGTCTGCTTTTGAGGGTTTGTTGTTTTTAAATTTTTTCTTTTGCTTTTACATTGTTTTCTCCCTTTAATTGTGATTAGATCCCATGAAATTTTTCCTAAGGACATTCGTATTAGTTCAGAAAAAAACTTGAAATATTCTATAAACCAAGATGATGCTTTATTTTTGTTTCAGGAAAACATTGCCTCTTATAAACTAGAGTAAATTCAGAGTTTTGGAAGGAAGGATATACTGTTTAGGGATTAGTTATACTCCTCAAAGCCATCATTTAGAAGTGACCATTGCCTTCTTCAACTTGGCTAACTGAATTCTCTTTTGCTGAGATAGACCCATTTTTTCTACATGATTTTTCTTTTTCCAGGAAAGCTGTGGAGCAGAAGTTTGAAGTTGGCCTACACACTACTTAATAAACTGGGGACCAAAAATGAGCCTGTGCTAAAACCTGGAGACAGGGTAATTGGTTTTTAGGTTTTAGAAAGGTGGTGTTTATTGTTTTCTAATACGCACATATACAGTAGGAAGATTTATGTAACTGTAATTCTCAGAAAATAAAAATGATTTAGTTCCCACTCAGGTTAGTCCAATACCAGATGATATTTAATGGGAAGGCAGTTTACTTATCTATTTCTGAAGCTGCTCATTCATAAACTTTAAGGAAGTATAAAAAGAAACACAAGCTTTTCTGAAAATAAATGTATTAATATTTAGAAAACACTGTTAGTAAATTGATATTTGTTTCTTTACAAAGAATAATTTTCTGTGGACTTATGTAGAAAGGGAAGCAGATATGTAGTTACTTCTAAGAAGACACAAATTGATATTATTTCTTAATTGTCGTTGATTTTTTTTGTCATTGATTTTTTAAATTAATTTTTCCTATTAATGACTATGGCTAGTTTCTATCATCAAGCCTTAATTTTCGTTTGAAAATCTTTCTGGATTACTGACTCTTCTAACCTAGTGTTTTAAAAATACTTGTGCATTGTGACAAAAAAGTTCCTAAAGTATAGCTCCACCTTATATACATGACACTTAAATGTTTTCTTGTGCCTCACCAAACCCTAAGAAGCTATGTTGTATCCTTTCATAGTATTTAAGAGAATTTGAAAGAAAAAGAAATGAAAGGGAGAATCCAGTAATAGGATTAGATTTAAAATATTACCTGTGAATACGTAAGCCAGGGAACAAACCCCACAGTGATGAGGATTTCTGTTTTTTTATTCTTTGACTAAATTAGGAAGTCAGTTATCTCTCTGATGTATATCAGGTGAGATCACAGATTTGAACATATTTTAGAGGTTTCAATTTTCTTTTTTAATTTGCTTTATATTCATAATAGTTTCAGCCCATATTGTTCATGTCTATTACCCACCACCTTATAGTGTTGGGTGAGCAATTAATTAGTTAGTAATAAGACCATGTGTGGGCTCTATGGTGGTAATCAAGTTGGTCAATATGCATAGGTTCTCTCTAAGAGATGTAAGGCTTAATCCTTTAGTATGCTTTTTCTATCTAGAGAAATCTATTAAATTTCTTTCTTTAGCTCTGCACTAAATTGCTTTAGGTTTCCCAAATAATTAACACTTAAATCAAGTTGTTTACTGCTAAATCACCAATAGAATTAAAGGAAAACTTAGGATAATGAATTGCATTTTTATTTCCCCAAACCTTCTAATGATGCAGATCTTTTTAGGTTTTTGTCCTTCTTAATAATTTAATTTCTTCTAGAGAAAATGTCTATTAAATTATTTGACTTAGTCTCATGGTAAATGATACTATTATATTAGGAAACATAGATAAAACATATATGTATATTCTTCTATCATTGAATCTCTTTGTGAATTTTAGGTAGCCCTGGTTTACCCCAACAATGATCCAGTCATGTTTATGGTGGCTTTCTATGGATGCCTATTGGCAGAAGTGATTCCAGTGCCTATAGAGGTACCTCTTACCAGAAAGGTAACATTGCTAAATTAAGAGGAATATAGTGGTGACATGACACAGTGTGGACATTGGTTGTTTTGAAGTTTGGAATTTGCCAGTAAAAGGGTTTGAAGTCTTGGAAAGTAGGGCCTTGTGTTCATATGACTTGCTTGCTTGCTTGCTACTCTACCACTTGAGTCACACCTGCACCCCAGCTGCTTTTTCGTTATTTTGAAGATGGAGTCTCAGAGACTTGTCTGTCAGACTAGCTGTGAATCTTGGTCCTTGGACTTCAGCTTCCTTAGTAGCTAGGATGATAGGAATGAGCTATTGATGCCTGGCTCAGGCATTGGGTTTTTGTTTGTTTGTTTTTGTTGGTTGTGGGGCTTGAACTCTCGGCCTGGCACTGTCCTTCAGCACTTCAGCTCAAGGCTAGCACTCTACCACTTGAGCCTCAGCACCACTTTGGTTTATTGGAGATAGTCTCACAGATTTTCCTGTCCGGGCTGGCTTTGAACTGCAATCCTCAGATCTCAGCCTCCTGAGTAGCTAGGATTACAAGTGAGCCTCTGATGTTTAACTAGGCATTGTTTCTTATTGAATGAATTGGCCCAGTCACCACATTAGAAACAATATGACAGTTTTCTGAAGTACTCAGCTTCACTTTCTACAAATTGTATAAAAATTATTTAATACTTATAAACAACATGTAAATTACATTTCTAGCTATGATAGAAATTTTGTAATGTATCAAAAAAAATTATGAGTAAGCAAGGGGCTTGGTGGCTCACACTGGTAATCCTAGCTCCTCAGGAGACTTAGATCTGAGGGTCACAGTTTGAAGCCAGCTGGAGCAGGACAGTCCATGAGACTATCTTATCTCCAATAAACTACTCAAAAAAAAAGACCAGAGTGGCACTGTGGCTCCAGTGGTAGAGTGCTTGGCTAGAGCAAAACCAAGTCAGAGACAGTGCCCAGGCCCTGAGTTTAAGCCCCAAAACCAGGAGAAAAAAAAAAAAAAGCATAAGTAAGTAAGAGCACAAAGCCCTGAGTTTAAACCCCAATACTAGCACACAAAAAAAAGGGGGCATATTTGAGTTGTAAGTCATCACAATTCATGAAGAGCCAGGTGTGGTGGTTCATGACTGAAATCTTATCTACTCAAGAGGCAGAGATTGGGAGGATTGAGGTTCTCAAACCTCAGCCAGGTCAGAAAGTTTACAAGATTTCATCTCATCTAATAGCTGAATCTGAGAATAATGCCTGTTCAGCCCAGGTATGAAGGAGGCATAAATAGGAGGATTCTGATTCAGCTCTAATATAGGAAAATATGCAAGACCCTGTATGAAAAATAACTAACACAAGCTGGGTGCTGGTGGCTCACACCTGTAATCCTAGCTACTCAGGAGGCTGAGATCTGAGGATCACGGTTCAAAGCCAGCCGAGGCAGGAAAGTCCATGAGACTCTTATCTCCAATAAAACACTAGAAAACCGGAAGTGGCACTGTGGCTCAAGCGGTAGAGCACTCGCCTTGAGCTGAAGAGCTGAGGAATGGCACCCAAGCCCAGAGTTCAAGCCCCACGACCGACAAAAAAAAAAAAGAAAAAAAAGGAAAAGAAAAATAACTAAAGCAGAACGAGTTGGCAAGGGGTATGGCTCAATTGCCAGACTACCTGTCTAGCAAGTACAAGCCCTTTAGTTCAAACTCCAGTACAGCACACATATATACATGTATCACTCATTTCAAATACTTTTTTTTTAAATAAAAGAATATCTTTTAATTGTATCACATGACTTAGCATTGCCATTAAGCAGGAAGGTGATACGAGAACAGCCTTTTACTTCTGTGAATTAAAGGGTTGCACTTGCATAGCACATCATCGCTTTTAAACAAAGATGATATAAGACATTTCCATGTCTCACTCAATGATCTCTCCAGGAACAATTCTTCCTAGTTTTCTCATACAATTTATGACAGAGAATTAATGTCTGAGAAAAGGATGATGGAGACTGTTATTTTATAAGAAAACAAAAGATTTGAAAAGGAGAGAAGACAAATGACTGACTGGCCAGAAGTCCTAGTTGATGATAATAAGGTTGTTGTTACAGAATTCTTCTTAATATTAAGTTAACAGTATTTGTATGGTTTCATAGTGATACTTTCAAAAGTATTTGTGAGGGTTCATAGTGATACTTTAAAAATTACATTTTAATAGGAATTTTTGGTTTTTTTCCCCTATTTTTCTGCTGCTTTTGTAAAGCTGAAATTGGCCTCTTAAAATTGAATAATTAAAGGAATATGTGGATTTTGTATAGCCATTCACTGAAAATTTGGACATCATTGGTATCCATTTCCTTTATTTATTATTTTATTCTGACCTGAATTGCCTTGTTCTTAGACTTGGGGGGTAGGGCTCAGAGAAGACATCCTAACCATGTTAGAATTTATTTCATTTGTTTAAAACTAAGGTAAAAGATAGTCATAGTTGACACTTGAATAAAATTGTTACATTTAATTAATTGGATTTATAATTAGCAAGCTCAGGCTAATAAAGTACTGGATTTTTACTTAGGAAATTATTGTAGAAATTCTTTGGATGAGCATATTGTCACTGGTTTATAACATTGCCAGGTGTCTATGGGACTCCATGACTCTAGTAACATAGGTGCCAGAGCATTACTAGGTGGTGGGTTTCAAGCATGGATATGCTCACATTCACTCCCTTGCTGTGCTCATTCTTTTCTCCATAGGATGCCGGAGGTCAGCAGATTGGCTTCTTACTAGGAAGCTGTGGTATTGCCTTAGCTCTTACTAGTGAAGTTTGTCTAAAGGGACTGCCAAAAACCCAGAATGGAGAAATTGTACAATTTAAAGGTGAGTAGTGTTTAATACCAAAATTATCAGTTAAAAGTGAGTGCTTTGATTAGCATTTTACTTTAGTAAAAACTGTATATATAAAATATACAGAATATGCAGGGCACTGGTGGCTCAGTGACAGCACCTAGGCCCAGTGTTCAAGCCCCAAAACCGACAAAAAATAAATTAAAAAATATATACATAAAAATATATACATAAAAAATATATACAATGTTATAAACCAGAGCCGGACACCCGTGGCTCACACCTGTAATCCTAGCTACTCAGGAGGCTGAGATCTGAGGACCGCGGTTCAAAGCCAGCCCGGGCAGCAAAGTTTGTGAGACTCTTATCTCTAATAAACCACTAGAAAACCAGAAGTGGCACCGTGGGTCAAGCGGTAGAGCGCTGACTTTGAGCTGAAGAGCTGAGGGACAGCACCCAAGCTCCAGCTCCACGACCAACCAAAAAGGAAGGAAGGAAGGAAGGAAGGAAGGAAGGAAGGAAGGAAGGAAGGAAGGAAGGAA